GATTAAAAATCTGAAAGAAAATAAAAAATATAACAAAAATAAATCCTGAAATTAAACAAATTAAAATTGTTTTTCTACAACTTTTGGTTGGACACGAATTACGAATATGCCTTCTCATATGAAGACAAATTCTCACACGATCATTTAAGATCATTTTTATTTTTCACCAGTTTTTAATACGACGATTCAATCCACTCGGTTGAAATCGTATGGTAATAGTTTAAAAACTTGGCTCGTGTGTACAAATAAAATTTAACCACCTACATACATATGTAACTACTAACTCAATCCACATATATATGTATGTAGGTATATTATTCTACTTAAAAGGCATGCACTACTCTACTACTACTATGGTTAACTACTACAAAATTAAAAATGTTAGAAAGAAAGGAAATATACGAAAAAGCATAAGGGAATATCTGAAAATAGAAGACAAAAATCTGAAAATAGAAAAAGAAAATTAAAATTTAGATTTGATATTCAATTTCATAAGAAAATATCTGAAAATAGAAGAAAAAAAGCTGAAAATAGAAGAAAAATCTGGAAATAGAAGAAAAAACAGAAAACAGAAGAAAAAATCAGCATTTTAGATACATAATTATGTATATGTGTCAATGTAATAATATGAACACTTTCGTGTATTTTACTTACGAGAAAAAAGCTGCTGCCGTCGCATGTTGCCTTCAATTTCATGGGCTCTTAGCTTGCAATCGAAAATGCTATTTCTTTCAATTATTTTCTTTTTTTTACATTTAATCTTTTCAATTTATTCTGTTTAAGACGCTCCATGCAGCGTTGCCGTTTTGCTTAAATTTAAGCAAAATTGCTTAACTTTTTCCTGACTGTTAAAATGTTAAACTTTTCTTCGGTTTGCTAAATATTTTTATTAAAATAGTCAAAAAGGATAATTTTCCTCAAAAATTCATAGTCAGAAGAGTTACTATTTCAATAAATTTTTCAAATGTATTTTAGGAAGACTGTCATCCAGATCCCACATAAAGTTCCAGCAAATGTTGCTCTAGGCAATTCCCGATCTGCGGTCGTCGCATTTTCAAACCTCCGTGTGTACTTCTGCCATGAAATCGCTTCTCATAAAAACCATTTGCCGTTCGGATGCGACCTAGAACTTTAGGTCCCTTCATTTGCGTGAAAAGATCAACACACACATTTTGGATAACATGATGCCTAACTCGTTTTTTTCATGCATTCAAAAAACTAGCGAAAGGGCAAATAACTATTATATGTGTTGAAAGCCTGAAAGAATGTGTAACAGTTTTCAAATTTAGCAACTGTTTGGCCCGATTTCAGATGGCCTACTTAAGTAGAGATTGTTGATTAATTTCCACTATTCCTTTTCAGATCATACATTTAGTGTGTACTTAAATTGCCAATTTTGCTATTTAAATATGAGATATGCAACCCCGTGTTTATACCAAACAACCAAGATTCATTGGTAGGTTGTTTAATCAAACTAACCAAGTCCCACCTAAAACAATCAGCTGTTCAGCAGAAAATGTAAACAAACATGCAAATGCAACAACAATTTCAAGAAATTAACAGCAGTGCTGCCAATTGTTTGGCATATT